AAGAGGCTGTTATCTATGAAAGAAATTTACAACCAGTATATTCAGTTTATGAAAGAGTACTTTTCACTAGAACACGTAGAATTAGTGCCAGACACAGATTATGAATTAGAAAATAAACACTATTATATCCCACATCACTTCGTGTTGAAGGACTCTAGCTTAACAACAAAATTGAGAGTTGTTTTCGATGCGAGCGCTAAAACAACCACAGGTGTTTCTTTAAATGATACACTAATGATAGGCCCAAAAATACAAGATGACTTAATTTGTATTTTACTAAGATTTAGACTTCATAACATTGCATAACCGCTGATATTAAAATGATGTACAGACAGATAAAGGTTCATGAAAAAATAGAGATTTTCAGAGAATATTATGGAGAGATAGCCCGTATAAACAAATACAAGTTTGTCGTTTGAAAACAGTTACATATGGAACTGCAGCTGCTCCATATCTTGCAACCAAAGTTTTGAGTCAGTTTAGCGATTGATGAAGGATTGAACTTTCCAAAGGCAAAGAATATAGTTTTAAGAGATTTTTATGTTGATGATAGTTAACTGGTGTAAAAGATAGTTCGGAAGGTTTGCATTGATAGACGAATTGCAACATCTGCTAAAAAGTGGTGGCTTTGAGCTTCACAAATGGTCGACAAGTGAACCGTCATTGTTAAAACCTCTGGCTTAACAAACACAGATAGTGACAATATTCATCGTGTAATAGAAGACAAACCATTGAAAGTTCTGGGATTGGAATGGCATCCGGACAATGATGAATTCAAAATGTAATGTCGGTGTAATAGAGTATCAAAGTGTTCCGACTAAAAGAATTATTTTGTCATTCGTAGCAAAACTATTCGATCCATTGGGGTGGATAGCTCCGTTTGTAATTCTCGCTAAAATGATCCTTCAGCAATTGTGGAAATTACAGTTATCATGGGATGATCCTGTAACAGAAGAGATTGATCGAAATTGGAGAAATCTATGTAGAGAAGTTAAACTTTTGAATTCTATAAATATACCTAGGAAAATTCTGCTACCTGATTATTTTTTCGATGTGAACTTCACGGATTTTGTGATGCGTTGAAAGAGGTTATGCAGCAGTTATTTATATCAAACTTGCAATAACTCTGACATTAATGTTTAAACTCGTAACAGCTAAAACTCGTGTAGCCCCATTAAAATCTATTACGATTCCAAGACTGGAATTAATGTGCAGCATGTTATTGGCACGCTTGATTCAGTCTGTAAAAGCTGCATTAGTTATAAATTTTGATTTAGTGCAAGCTTGGAGTGATTCACAAATCGTGTTGTCATGGCTAAGGTCAGATCCTAAAAAATGGCAAGTATTCGTATCCAATAGAGTTTCTGAAATACAATCCATCTTACCACCTGAGAACTGGAGTCATGTTGATGGAAAGGAAAATCCAGCTGATTGTGCTTCACGTGGATTATTTCCTGCAGAACTATTATCTCATCAATTGTGGTGGAATGGTCCTTCTTGGTTAAAGTGCAGTGAGATTGCCTTGTCTAAAAATATTCTTATAGATGAAGAGGCATTACCAGATGCACGTAAAACAGTCTCATTTGTAGTTTCTGAACCTGTACAGGAACTTGCTATTATATCAAATATATCTTCATTTCCAAAGTTACAACGCATATTTGCTTGGATATTAAGATTCATATCGAATTCTAAAGTAGCATATCTAGAAAGAAATACGTCTTTTTTATCTAGTAATGAAATTCGAGCTGCAACTTTCTGTATTGTCCGAATGCGAACTTTTTTAAAAAATTCATGTTTGGAGTTGGAAAGGTTAAACACCAACCTCAGCTTGTGTCCAATTTTAGATACAAAAATGTTACGTGTAGGAGGAAACTGAAAAATTCGCAACTATCAGAAAATGAAAACATCCAATCTTATTACCTTCAAAACACAATCTGACAAAATCATAATTAGACACTTTCAGTCAAATATCTGCATGCAGCACTTTGTAATTCTTCTATCTTTAGACCAATTTGTCATTGTAGATTGCTATCCGAAATAGCGATTTCACTTTTTTAAAGAAATTCAATGTTGTAGTTAAAGGATTACCTACAAACAGCAAATCCTGCTTGATGTCCAATTTAGATAACACAATCCGAACCATCGAACTGGAATAGATTTTTCTGGACCGTTCATGATTAAACATCGTGCAGGACGTGGACAAAAATCATTTAAATATTACGTATGCTTATTTGTGTGTTTGTAATCAAGGCATACAATCTTGAAGTGGTAGAAGATTTGTCAACAAAAGGCATTTTAAGTGCATTGAAACGATTTATTGCAAGAAGAAGGGAAACCATTTGAGATTTATAGGACTGCGGTACTAACTTTAAAGGTGCAGACAAAGAAATCAGAAAATGTTTTTTGCAATGTAAGCAAAATCAAGAATTCACAAATTTTTGTCTTTAGAGGAAATAAATGGATATTCAAACCCGCCATCATCTCCCCATTTTGGTGGACTATGAAATCGGCAGTAAAGTCAATGAAATTACATCTAAAAAGGACTGTTGGTGATACTGTGCTGACCTATCCGGAATTTCAGACCTTGATAGCGCAGGTTGAGGCTTGTCTCAACTCTAGGCCATTGTGTCCAACATCGGCTGATCCAAATGATTTAACTGCATTAACACCTGGTCATTTCCCAATAGGAACGTCTTTAACTGCCATACCTGAACCAGACCTAAATTATAATTCCTTCAATCACATTGACAAATGGCATGTGAGGCAGTTTATTTTTCACTCCTACACGTAACAAAGTGTTACGTGTAGGAGGAAGACTGAAAAATGCGCAACTGTCAGAAAATGAAAAACATCCAATCTTATTACCTTCAAAACACAATCTGACAGAAATCATAATTAGACACTTTCATGTCAAATATCTGCATGCAGCACCGGAACTTCTATCTTTAATTAGACAACAATTTTGGATCATAGCTGCTAGATCTGCTATCCGAAAAGTAGTAAGATCTTGTATCACGTGTTGCAAACTTAGAGCTAAAACTGCAAGTCAAATAATGGCTGATCTACCGGGAATCTACTAGAGTAACACAATCGCGACCATTTCATCGAACTGGAATAGAATTTTTCTGGACCGTTCATGATTAAACATCGTGCAGGACGTGGACAAAAATCATTTAAATATTACGTATGCTTAATTATGTGTTTTGTAATCAAGGCAGTACATCTTGAAGTGGTAGAAGATTTGTCAACAAAGGCATTTTTTTAAGTGCATTGAAACGATTTATTGCAAGAAGAGGGAAACCATTTGAGAATTTATAGTGACTGCGGTACTAACTTTTAAAGGTGCAGACAAAGAAATCAGAAAATGTTTTTTGCAATGTAAGCAAAATCAAGAAATTCACAAATTTTTGTCTTTAGAGGAAATAAAATGGATATTCAAACCCGCCATCATCTCCCCATTTTGGTGGACTATGGGAAATCGGCAGTAAAGTCTAATGAAATTACATCTAAAAAGGACTGTTGGTGATACTGTGCTGACCTATCCGGAATTTCAGACCTTGATAGCGCAGGTTGAGGCTTGTCTCAACTCTAGGCCATTGTGTCCAACATCGGCTGATCCAAATGATTTAACTGCATTAACACCTGGTCATTTCCTAATAGGAACGTCTTTAACTGCCATACCTGAACCAGACCTAAATTATAGTTCCTTCAATCACCTTGACAGATTGGCATGTGAAAGACAGTTTATTTTTCAGCACTTCTGGAAAAGATGGAGTCGAGAATACCTGTCTCAGCTTCAAAAACCTAAATGGCAAAAAAGTCAAAAAAATTTAGAAGTCAATGACTTAGTCCTCATCAAAGAAGACAATTCCGCCTCTTAAATGGGAATTAGGGAGAATAATTGCTGTTCATCCGGGCTCAGATCAAAGAGTCAGAGTTGCTAGTATTAAAACTGGTCATGGTGTCATAAAACGACCAGTCGTGAAATTGTGTCCTCTTCCTATTCAGACTAAAAACTATGAACTGCTTCGCATATAATATTTTGTATTATTTTTCTTATGTTTATCTTTTATTACAGACTAAGAAGTTTCAAATGCTCCAACTGTTGAAATCCCCTGGGATTTCAACGAGGGCCAGGATGTTTATGTGAGTATCGTTTGCTTCATTTTATTGTTGCAAACAGCGTAAATTTCTTTTGTTTTTCTTCCTTTAGTTTTGAACTTTATGTGTGGCAACAAGATAATTGATTGATAGAATTGTGTTTGTGACAGCCATGTAGAATGGCTCGCTTATTTTGTATCAATCATTTCGCATCGCTGACATTTTATTTATAATTAGTGTAATGAAATAAAAGTGAATGAATACAGTCCATTTGTTGATTGATTATTGTTTGTGAAATATATTAAGTTAAAGAACACAAGGCTTAGGTTAAAATGTTAGAGAAAAAATCCGCAGATTATACGAAAATTATTATACAAAACATACACTTACAAAAGCTACAAATGACTAAATATTAAAAAAAAATAAAAATGAACAATATGTGTTAGTATAAATATAAATAAACGAGCAGTACAATAATTTTAAAAGTTGAAGTGAGGATTATTTATTTACAAACAAAAAGTATTTTTACGAACGCAAAGAAAAGCACGAGGTTTTCCTGGCAAAGAGAGAAAAACGAAGCTAATAAAGCCATTTAATAATGGAGAAATTAACAAAAACAACTATGAAGCATATTATTTAAATTTTAGCCAGTAAATAGGGAATAAAATTTTGGTCATTAACTAGAATGAAAAGAATTTTTAAGGCTGTGCTAAATTTCTATGAAATCCCTTTCAACAACTGAAGGCGCGATTGGAAGTTGTATATATGATATATATATATATATATATATTATTAGAATTTTCTATTAACCAAATTTTGTTCTTGCCCCGTCAGTGTCGTCTTATCAAAGAAGTGTAAGAAGGAAGCCTACGTATATATATATATTAAATATATCTTACCTTTGCTTCAAATCTATCTACATTTACAGAGCAGTAATTCTTGTACTGCTGTAAAAGGCATTTAGATTTTTTTTTAAGTATTCTGTCTGTTTCTTCGCCGGTAGGCCACCAATTGGCAATATTACCATCTCCATCAAGCTGCCGACCTACAACAATATTAACGTAAAAATTATGTGTTAAAAGAGCTACATGTACATTTAACAGCTTATTTGTAAGCTTAAGCATGGCATTAGGTTCAAAACTATTATAATAATTTTGCAATATAGTTTGTAGAGACAAGAGTGGCAGTGTTTTACCTATTTAAATACTGTCTATAAGCTATATAAAAAATGAGTAGTTCATAAAAAGTTTATCAGGAAAATGTATTCGAATTTTAAGTGCAAAATGAAGATAACTTGCTGAGTTCATTAGCATGGGATGTTTTTGCAAAGCTACCATCTATGAAGCTTTGGGCAGCAGGAGAGATCCAAAGTTTCTATGAAATGTCCATACATAAATTATCGTGAGAAAATGGTGCAAAGACTCCCAAAATGTCTTTTCCTAAAAATGACTAAACCTAATATCAATTTCTGAGCTTTCTTCACGATGCTGTCAAACACATCATAACGCCATTACACATCATATTTTTACGAATTTGATATTTAAAAAGCTAACGTTAGTTCAATTATAAATCGTTTTATTCCCGGTGCAGTGCCGCGTGAGACGAATATTAAGAGAAAGCTAAGCCGGGTAATTAAAAATACAAGAGCACGTGCATTTAACATTAAATAAATAGATATCTCGTAATTATACACTTTTGCCTTTCCAGAAAATACCAAAAAATTCTCGTGCGTTTAAAAAGCTTATATAAGCTGCATTGAAACCTCTCAATTCGTTAAAAAAAATATTGTTCTTACGATGTAAGAATTGTTAAAATTGTGTCTATAAGTCATTGATTTGCGAAACCGAAAACAAAAATGTCCTTTTATAGGACACTACTCGATATTCTGATGAAGAGGACTACCGAAGCGAGCGTAGTCCAAACCAACAAGACAATCCTTTGAAGAAAATGATTTCATCCTTAGGCAAAGAAGAAAAGTAAAAGCAACAAGGCGAAAAATATCAGATACGGAAGCGACAACCAATAAGAAGAAAGATGTTAAACGGTAGGAAAAAAGAGACATTCAAACACCGAAGGAAAAGCTACTGATGAACAACACTAGAATTTATCAATGCGAAATGATGAGGACAATCCCAAAATTCAAGCATGTTCTGAAAGAAGAAAATCTGGGACCAGATTATGATTTGGATTTGACGTATTTGCAATTACTTTCATAAAGAACTAAGGGTGAGATGATGTAGAGACATTCACGAAAAATTTTATCCAGGGCAGATAACTGAAAGAGGAACAGACGCAGGGAACAAGAATGGATTTCTCCTAAGAAACGCGAAGTATCAGAAACGAGGCTCCAATGGAAGTTAAGACGGAAATCGATTGAGCAGCTAAGTGAGTAGAAGTAATGGAAGAAAGGAGAGCGAAAAGAGGAAACTCCACCCCAAGTTTTCCAGCAAGCGAAGTGGATTGGCCCTAAATTCATGAAATCCTTATCATACCTGCAGGGAAGAATTCGAAGCCGATCAAAATGAAACTACTATATGTTAATTTAAAGTCGTAGACGATTAAGAAAAGCACTCTGGTTTGCAGAAAAGAAATATACCATTTCACTTCCAGTTACTCAGCGAAAACCTATTAGGTTGTTCTTAAGGGCCTCCCATCGACGATGAAGGAAATAATCCAGGCAGATAAAGTAAATCACATAAGTTTCAGACCGACGAGACTATCGAGAAACTTCCGATTTTCCGTTGGAGAAGAAAACGAAAGAAGGACTGCAATTCTGGACTCAACAATATGTAAGTGTTAATGTCAAGATCGAGAAGTTTCCCCGAAAAAAAACGCGTAATTCAATGCTTAGATTCAAATATGGACATCGCAACATCTTTGCTCAAGTCTACTTCTATGGTGCTGTCCACACTGCATCGATGCTCAAGTGTGACAGACCATAAAATAAAGAATGCCCTCTAAAGCCAGAAGAAACCTAAGTGCATCTTTGCTCACTACCGCATGTAAGTTCATACGGGGTTGCCCCGTACAAGAAGCGATAGAAGCAAAGAAGCAGCAGCCGAAGCCACAGCTAGATCCCTACGCCGGCAGATTTCCGAAATTCATCGATACAGAGTAAGACAGTATAAAACCCAGATGAAACCTCTCAAGTGATAGAGTAAAGAAAAAAATGAAAACCCACCCACAGAGTACAAGGATATCAATAACGGATCCATATCCTAAAATCAAAATTTGAACAGTATGGTTGAGCACGTTTAGAAGATCCGCGCTGCAAAAACCACGGCTGAGGAAGTTTACTGCCGGGTTCAACAGCCATGACACTGATGAGATTGCTGAAGTGAGGAGTAATCACCGCTTAAAGCATTTGAGGGGAATTTCAACTATGTTTCGATTTCTTTTCACTTTTTCACGCACAGGTTCCCTTGTTTACAGCAACAGCTCGGGTCAGTACTTGGGTGGATGACCATCCACGGACTGGCCTCGACGTATCCGTTTCCTCAACTAGTGAAGATACATCACAGCTTGGTCGCGGCTAGATGCTTGAACCCTCCTTTCCAAGTCTACTTGACCAACTCACGTGCATTAACACATGTTCCTGCTTCACCTTTGTCGGTGCGATGTAAATCGCCTTAATTTTTAATTCTTCCCAACGCCTTACGGCATATCTTCAACAGAGACGGTTAAAGTAGCAGAGGCTACTAATGCCGCTACCATTCACTCGATTTCGATTCGATTTTAGTTTCGTAAGTAGTTACTTAGTTTTGTTGTTTAGAAACTGCTCTTGTTGATTGTGGCGAATTCGCGGCTTAGCTTTCTTAAGCTGTTTTGATTACGTTTCTATTGGACAGTTGAGTAGTTAAAAGATAACTAATGTGATTATATTGTGATACTGCACGATATTTGAGGACATTTAATCATATTTGTTGTTATAATAATAAATTTTTGTTCATTTTTCATCGGACTTGTGCATTCATTTCGTAACGAACCCGTACGCACGCAACAATTTTTGGTGTCAGGACTAGGGTCGAACCCACGCTCTCTTTCGAGAACCAGAGACTAGACTTTGAAGCTCTATCCGGCGCACTGAAGCTGCGCTTTGGAGAGAAGTGTTTAAAAGACTACAGCAGGCTTCAACTAAAATCCCGTCAACAGAAGCTCACCGAAACACTTCAGGAGCTCGCCACGGATGTTGAAAGGCTGTCACATCCACGCCTTTTTGAGTGCCGACAGAAACAAGGCAAATCCTGTCCCTGCAATACTTTATCGACGGCCTCCGGGATCCTGAAATACAGAAAACTCTGCGAATGGCGAATGTGAAGGACATAAAAAGGGCTGCTCTGTTGTACGCCGTGAAATTCGAGGCAGCCCAGCAATCAACAGCTCTGACTGGGTAGAGATCGCTACCCAGTCAGAGCTGTGCGAGTCCACGAGCCAGTAGATCAATTTACGGCTCGTTTAGATAATCTATCAAGACAATTCGACCGAACAATTCGATCAAGACAATTCGACAAGACCGGAGTAAGAGTGAGAACGGACTGGCTCTAAGGTGTTGGAGATGTGGTGTTGAAAGCCACCTACGAAGGAACTTCAGAACACTCCAAAATAAGGCAAACGATTTAAATAGACAATTAAATGCCATGGTACGGAACAGGAATGAAAAGAAACCATTTCTTAAGTGCTGGAACTGCGCTGTTGAAAGCCACATACGAAGAAACTGCAGAACACCCCGAGGTACGGAAAATAAGAGAGGCGGGTTAAACAGACAATTAAATGCCATGGGACGGAAAAGGATTGACAACAAACTAAAGTGCTGGAACTGTGGAGCTGAAGGCCACGTACGAAAGAATTATAGAACACCCCAGGGTACGAAAATTGAGACCACTTCTGAGCAACGACGCAGGAAACAAATTAATGACCATATCAAGGAACGGAGGTTGCCAGAATGAAAAACCCTGTTTTAAAGCGCTTAAGATCTCTATAGTGAGTGGCAACAATAACGGACTGTCTATCAATGGGAATATCGATGGAGTTCCTTGCAATATGATCATTGACACAGGAGCTAATGTTACCATCATTAGAAAAGATTTAGCTGAACAGTTTAAAGATAAACTTATTTGGACGCCATCCTGTGTTACTCTTCAGACTGCGTCTGGTTACAAGATCGAGATAGCTGGGAAGTTAAACGTGAACATCACGTTTGGAAGTGACGCCTACCATCACACGGCATATGTGGCGGATATTACAGATCCATGCATACTCGGATTGGACTTTTTAAAGAAATACAATTTTTCCTTAGACTTCAAAAACAATAAGTTTGTTACTAATAATCTGTTGCGATGCAAATGCTTTAATTTATTGACCTATGAAATGACTTTAATGTATGGCAACATTTTGATAACGCAATGAGTATTGGTGGCAGTTAGGAATAAATTGATATATTATGATAAATTTCGAAGTTTTTGAAATAAATTCATTGCATAGATACTAGGTAATTATGTAGACGCATCTGTACTTTGCATTCTTTTATCTTTTATTCTTTAACTATTTTTATTTATTTCTTCTTCTCTCCTTCTGATTCTGTTCCTAAGCACTATTAACTAGTAAGACATAGAAGAGGCTTAACGGGGGAGCTCCTGATCAATAATTGATTCTAAAAAAGGTTTCGTGATAGGAGAAGTTTGGGAACCGCTGCTATAGATGATTTAAAATTATTTTAAATTCCGTTTTGAGTAAATCTTTACACTTTATGCTATGTCAATACAGTACTTTTCTGTCTAGTAATCAGTTTATTTAACTGAATATTATGCTATTTACTAATATTATACTGAATGCTTCTATTAAAAGCTACACTCAAGTATTATTATAATTTATGGAGCATGTGTCTACTATTCAAACGTAAAAATATTATTTGCTCACTGCGCTCGCAATTCGAATGTAAAAGGGCTGTTGGAAATACGGAACGAATTTCTGATGCATTTAGTGTTCAAATGCTGGAATGCTTGATGTTAGAAACTTTTAATAGAAGATATCATTGTGTACAAAAATGTTTTAAAAATTCAGATTTTAAGAATGATTTATTTTTTACATTATCTTTGTAACTACAGCAACTAGTATATTGGGTTTTCACTATTTAGCTTATTTAATGATTTGAATCATACTTATTCTATTTTATGATGTCTTGATATAAATTATTGATTTACCTGTGTAATCAAATCCACGCATTATTTCACTGCCTGCAAGGTAACCAATGGTTCCAAACTTCAGATAACTGAAATAAGTATTTGAATCAATAACAAGATTTCCTAATAATTTAAGACCATTATGTTAATAAGCACATATCAACTGAGTTTAAATTACAAAAAAGCATTTGAGGATAATTCACCAAAATTATCTTACTATGGTCGATCCTTATTAAAGAACCTGTGCTGTAACGTTGCAGTGAGAATATCTGTAAAAAGAATATTGCTGCTGAAGAACATGTTGAAATAATAAATTAAAATTACAGTTTAATTCAAATTAACTTCCTTATTTCGAAATACTTAACGTGATTTAGGCAACTGTATTAGTGAGTCCAAGAACAGTCATTCTTGCTTTTTCAAAATTAACTTCTGATATTAGGATTTCTTTCAGATTTTTAGTTCATTAATCTATACCAATATTGGATTTGTCACCCACTGCGACATGGAAAATCTTCTTGTACAAATCATAAGACATTTATCTTAAACCGTGTATTCTTTAGTAAATAGGCAGTGTAAGTCGTAAATTACACTAGTAGGAGATTTATCATACTGCCATTTATATCCTGGTAAATGTTGCTGTTGGGTTAAATATTAGAATTTTCATTTATTTTCCGCGTGGCCTGCATAATAGCTCATTTCCTGAATACTGTCATTCAACATGATCAAAGAAAAGAATGAATTTTAGATTGCCTGATTCATTTATTATTTATTCCTTCAATCTTTCTATTGATATGAAAATTTCTGAAATTAAAAAAAAGGCTAATGCTTCGTATGTTCTATGTGCAAAATTGCTAATGCTCTAATAAGCGATTAGTAATTTCAAGTGCAACAGAAAAATGATAACTTACCAATGCTGTTCTCCAGATAGTTATAATAAGGCTTTACGGCAGATGGGTTTATATGTTTCTTCCAACTGAAAATAAGTACATATTAATATTTAGAAAAATTTTTAGGTATCAGATGACTGTCTTTAAATGTAATAAAATAGCATAAAGTAGCATATAACATATTAATTGCAGGACAGAAAAGCTAAATTTCCAGTTTAAATTTCACAGTGACTTAATTTTATGGTCCTTTCGATGCCCAGTATTTCGAATTTTGAAAAGCTAATACATATGTATATATACATACAGAAATTTAAAACTGAAAGTTGAAGTATGAAGAAATTAGGAAAATAATATATGCGCCATACGACATGGTACAGAAAAAATCTCCAAATAAGAATTACCAAGCTTGCAGATATTTTTAATGGCTGCTTCACAAATCTGTATTTTCTAAATCATAGAAATTAGGTATTAGTTTTCTTCTTCCAAAATCTAGTAAATATCATAAAAGACCGGAAGGGTAAAGATCCATTAGTCCCTAATCAGGATTAGGTAAACGGTGTACACCGAAAAAATAACGGACTAAAACGTCGCCGAAAAAACAGAGCAAGGAGAAAACATTGTTGTACAATACATCGTGGGAGAAACGAAAGCAAAGGAAAAAAAAATCGCATTTTCAAATATCATGGTATAAAAATTTGTTGGTGAAAATAAAAGGACTCAAAAACATTTCAGTTTTTAAAACATGGTCGCAGGAAATATTGTGGTAGAAAAAAAGGAGTTTGCAAATTATCGTAGACATGTTTTTCCAGGCTTCAGAAGTTCCCATAATGATTTGTGAGCGCTAGAAGGAACCTGTACACTTTATATTTTTATACAAAATTTTATATTACCTGTACATTTTATATTTTTAAAGAAATTAAGAAGGAGACTTAAGCATTCAAAAACGGAAAATGATTAGAAAATTAATACTACATAGAACAGTTAATAAAATTTTAAGCTTATGTTTAACAGCTAAAGGCCCTTATTCAATTAATCTCTTTTACGAAACTATAAATATTTACAGTTTCATAAAAGAAATTAATTATTTTTATTTTAAACTGTTGTAGAGGCATTAGGGCTTTTTTTGAAACAGAAGAACATGAAAAATGAGCAATGCCCTCGCCGGGACTCGAACCACAGACCTCTCGAATACGCGTTGAGCGTACTGACCACTACACCACGAAGGCATGCTAAATACCTTATACCGTATTGATAGTTTTTCATAAAAATATAGTCTAAAAAAGATTAGAAAAGGCAGGATGAGTAACTACATGAGGTTTTCTATATTGAAACTGTTTAATTAATTATCAAATTGTAAAACAATTTTTTTCACTTTATCTGATATTCTTTTTTAGACTATATTTTCACGAAAAACTTAATTACATTCTTACAAAAAGAGATTGATTAAATAATCACCTTTAATAGTTAACCGTATAAGTTTAAAATTCTAACTGTTGTGTTGTTGTTGCCGTGTCCATATTACACGGCAGAATGGTTGCCAGAACCTACACCAAACAGAGGTTGAATTCCTCAGTTTTGAGGAACACCAATTTTCCTTTCCAATTTTGAGGAAGAGCACCGAGGGTCTTTCACCCTCTCCTTCCACCAAACCATGCGAGAAGATTTGCAGCTAGCCGCATATTTAAAGTGCCCCATGACGCACAAACACTATACATTTACAAACATTCATATCTTCTCCGGGATTCGAACCCGGGTCCTTCGGTACTGCAGTAGGCTCCCCTAACCACTATACTATCTGGGCGACTCTATTAACTGTTATCCATATATTAATCTTCTATTTTCAGGTTTTGAGTGCTTAATTTTCATTCTTACATTTTTCATTTAAAAGTTCTTAGTTCATTCAAAAATATGAAATATGAAGGCAAAGTATTCCTCATTCCTTTTAGGGCTCACAAATCATTATGCGAATATATATATTTTTAATTTTTAAAGCCTGAAAAATACATGTGTGCGATGTTATCGTCATACGATGATTTGTAGGTGCTTTAATGTTTACTCCCAAGTAGCACACGACGTTGCAAACTGGTCCGAGAGGTTGCAAAGTGGTCGTGGTAACTTTTACGACCTCTTTATAACGTTGCGAAGACGCAAAATATTTGCCATTGCATCTTGGCAATTTGTCGACGTCTCTGAAACGCCATGGTATGACCGCTTTTACACGTGGTCGTTTAAGCATTTTTTTTTTAGTTCATCAGCATTACTTTTAGAAAGAAAAGAGACTAAATCTGCCCTTTCTGAAGACAGCATAAGATTTACTTTGCAATATTTCATTACTTTATTTCATCTAAATATATTAATCTAAAGTAGATTCATCTAATGAAATGTAAATTTAATATAAATACTTTTGATTTATTAAATTTAATTAGTACTAAAATACGTGCTAAATAATTACTTAAAATTTTGTTAAAATAATTAATACTTAAAATATTTTTTATAAATATTATAGCAAAATATTTAAAAATGAAGCTAATCTATAAAGTAAGTTATTAAGTTGTGCATTTTATATATTTTAAAAAATCATATTTCGAAATCAATGCAAATCACATTTTAGCAATTATTTTACTACTGAAATATGACTTTATTTCTTATTTTTGAAGTAAGGACGAATTCACGGCTGTCCAATATATATGACGGAAAACTCATCGGCAGTCAGGAGAAGCAGACCTGTACATTATTTACTGGATGCTTATATAAAAGAATATCTCGAGATTTGCGCGCTTTGGCTAGCTGCCAAATTCGAACAAGGAACTGCGCAATTAATTCAGATTCTAGCAGTTCTTTCAAGTAATTTAGTAAAGATGCCATCTGTAAGGCGTTTGAAAAGACTGACTGCATTTTTGAAATTGAATCAAGCAATGGCTGATATAAATAATATTTATAATGACGTTTAATAGTTTAAGTTAATTGAGAAGAAATCATCGTGAGAATGCTGAATTTGTGCTTATTTTGTGTGTGAATATCTGCTCTACAAGAAATGCTACAATGCTAATCGTGAATCTAGTGTTCGTGAAATAGTGTCTCTGTGGTCTGTAGTGGTATGTGGAATATAGTATTCGTGAAATAGTATTTATGTGGTTCGTGAAATAGTGTCTCTGCGGAAATAGTGTCTGTCTCCAATCGCTGTGGTTCCAGCGGTGCAGGATACACGGATTAGCGATTCGGTTATAACGCAAGTGCTATATTGTATATCATTCATATTAATCGATTATTGTGTTCGTGCTCAGAATTAATTCGTGTAAAACAAAAAATAACATACAATGGTAAGGCTTTTCTGGTTTTGCGGAAAATGCAATCAATGCAGAAGCAACAACAATTCAAGCTGTTATGGTATATTCATTAGTTTCAAAATACAAAGAAATTATTGGACTGGTAAGAATAAGGGAGAGAAGACCACCCGCCTGGCATTGCTGCCTTATGGTTAATTATTGGACTGGTACCAGTATTTAATGTGAGTGCTGAAGATGAATTAGATATATGTATTAACAAGAACGAATACATTACAATTAATAATAATGCACATTCTATAATTCTCTTTTTTTTAAACTATAAATATGTGATATTTAATTGTGTAACATTAAAAACACTAAATATTTTTTATTGATTGTTAATTGCAGTTTTATTGCTTTTCTTTTGATATCTGTTCTTACAAACACTGTGTAATTCGCTTTTTTTTTTAAATATTGTCGTTATGTATGTTTATTAGATTATCTCAATAAATGAATGTTGGAAATTAGGTTTGATTTTTTTATTAAATTTAAGTATATTCTATTTTCTTCGCTTACTTTTTTTGTACTTGTGATAACAAAGAAATTCATATAAATAGAAACAAAAGTTTCATTGTGTGCTATTTAACGAAAAGCTTACTTTAACGTACTTAGCTTACTATCGTATACTATATTATTTAAATTATTTCTGTACAGTAACAAAAGGAAAGTTATTGATTATAAAAAGTGCACGAAATAATCATTGTAAGCTGCCACTCTTCTAAAATGTAGAAACTAAAAATAAATAAATACATTAACATATGATCGAAAGAAATGGTGTTAAAAAACATCAGCAGTACTAGTAAATACTGCAATCCATAATTATTGCACTTTTAATTGCTTTCTATTTAAAAAAGGCAAATATTTTTTTATTAATTGGAAATTTTAGTTCTGTTACCTTCCTTCTGCTATTTATACTTTCAAACACTACTAGTTCATGTATTTTCTTAAATAGTGCTGTCATGTATGTTGTTTGTTAGGTTATTATTTCATTTTAGATATGAATGTGGGACGTTATTAAATTTAGGTATATTTTTTATCACATTTATTAACTACTTTACACTGTCTTTCATTTGCATATCTTGGAGATACAGAAGTTAATGGTTATATTTTTTACTGTGAAACGCGAATAAATTTATACTTGAATTCAGGTAAAATACTAATTATGTTACCTTAAGAACCGCTTCCTAATTTATCATGACAGGGGCAATTTTCAATGTCTCTGAAATTTAACAGAAATAAATGTGATAATGGTGTTATCACAAACGCTCTTTTTTTAACCCATATCTTTACTTTTATTTATGTCTAATTTAGTTTTATTTACTTAGAACATAATATTAATGTTATATATTTATAATAATTATTTTCATAATGACTCTCCAGCGGCCGAGCGGTAAAGTCGCTGAACATTGGTAGTTCGGTCCGAGGTTCGAATCCCGCGGATGGGCTGGCTGCATGGGCGTTTTCGTGGTTTTTCCCATGTGTAATGTGTATACGAGTCAGTTTCTCTTAGAAAGTCCTCCACGAAGGCATCCCTCCTCTTAGGCAGATAGCCCTAGTGTGCTTTGCCATAATTAAATGCACATACACACATAATTACTCTCACTTAAGAGAAAAAAATGATGAAATCTTAAATAATCGTAACTTAGAATTTAAGTTATTTAAAAAATATAGTTTAAAGTACTGAAAATAATTAAAGCTATTATTAATTATGCATATATAATGTCTCTATATAATATATATATTTGGCATCTTTTTCCAGCGATAATAACGCCAAACAGATGAGAGCAGATTCAGTATGAGTAGCGATTCTCATCGCATACTCATCTGGAGAGAGCGGGGAAGCCGCAATCATCCCTCGAACATCATTGAAAGGGACAGGTATGGAGGTGGCGGTGTTCTTGTTTGGGGAGGCATCATGCTTGGTAGTCGTACAGACCTTCACATCTTCGACGCAGGTTCAGTCAACGGGACCCGTTATTTGTAACGATATTCTTCTTCCATATGTGCGTCTTTTTAGAGGCGCTATGGGTCCGCAGTTCCTTTTCATGGACGACAATGCACCATGTCATCGCACAGTAGCTGCCGAACAGCTCTTAGAGAGTGAGGATATTGAACGTATGGATTGGCCGATCTCCGGATCTCAATCCGATCGAGCATGTATGGGATTTTCTAGGCAGATGCTTGGCAGCTCGTACCTTACCACCAGTAACGATTCCGGAGCTTCGATTGACGCTGCAAGACGAATGGGCAGCAATGCCTCAACAGCTCATTGACACCCTCATTCTCAGCATGGGCAGACGCTGTGAAACCTGCCTAGCCAGTCAGGTCAATATCCCCTATTAAAGACCGGATGTTTCTTGCTGGACACCCATCACAGGGATGTTTCGGCCTTCAGTCGCATTGCGCTCCATGCTACTTTTTCAATAAAGCTTCTTTTTATCCCTCTGATTTCTCTTTTAGTAAGTGTTGCTTACATTACTCATGTCCTTACGTATTGGGGATCTTACGGTATTAAATGTGTTGATTTGGAAAGCTTTTGTACAAAGTTATATTGAAAAAACCGTCTCGTCCTTAATTTTTGCACACCAGTGTAGATTGCCATATATTAAGAAGTTCACCAAGTGAACTAACTATTCTTAGGCAAACTGAAAAGAACAGTGGCAACATAAATTTGTGAATTTCTCCGTAAATTGCAGCCCACGAGCGGCCGAGCGGTAAAGTCGCTGAACACTGGTAGTTCGGTCCGAGGTTCGAATCCCGCGAACGGGCTGGTTGCATGGGTGTTTTCGTGGTTTTCCCCATGTGTAACGTGTATACGAGCCAGTTTCCCTTAGAAAGTCCTCCACGAAGGCATCCCTACCCTTAGGCAGGTAGCCCTAGTGTGCTTTGCCATAATTAAATACACCAACACCGTAAATTGCACTCCAAATTTTACAAACTTTAATATTTAGACATAATTTGAGTCGTAGAATCGAAATATGAAAAGAAATTGGTATGTTATTTCAGGAAAAGTCCGATTTTGTGTCAAAATACGTGTGTTAGAATAGAGCTATATATAAATCTAATATATATTTTAAGTCGCGCTTTCGAGACATGAAGAAAGCAATTTGAATTTTGTCAATCGGCATAGCATTATCCTTTTTTCTTTTTTTTTTTTTTTTTTTTTTTTTTTTTTTTTGCGCATTGTCCATATGTAATACCCTGAGAGATCACATGTTCTTTAAGGCTGATGACATTTGAAATAGTAGGCTTCTTTTCTACTACCAACTCTAAAGGTGGTAATCCTGCAAGAACTTGAAGCGCTGCCTCCATACTGTGCGATACGCTTTGAATATGGTTAACAGATGTAGCCACTGTAGAGAATTAAGATTTTGCTTCATTTGGTGGGACAGATTTTTACTTCACTCTGAGACTCCGTATAGCACAATACGTACCATAAGCTCTCAAGTACCATAAGCGAAGGAATTTAGATAGTACTCCACATTTCATAGCAGATGTACGGTGCATGGAGCTGGCAAGGTAGAGCACTTTTGCTTATTGTAGCGAATATGAGGAAGCCATGTAAGCCGGCGTTCTAGAATTATTCCAAGACATTTAATTTGTGTTACATGATATTTTTGTCCTGGAGTTTCACGCTGGATTTAAATATTAAAACACCATTAACCCTTATCAGAGCCTGCGCTTTTTCTGAGATAGTGAGTTTATGCTCTTTTGTACAGCCTGTGAAGGCCTGTGTTTCTTAAACTCTGTTTTTAATACTGCTTCTACCGACTACTCCGCGTAGGTAATTACTTTTTTATGTTCTTATTCGTCATAGAGTTGGCGAGCTGTTTTAATTACTAGATTCCATAAGGTCGGTTTTAAGCAGGAGCTCTATGGGCATCTTAGGGTAATGTTCTTTCACAGTACGGTGCCATTTAATGTTTTCTGTACTCTGCGTGCCTCTACATAGCTGCGAGTGAAGTTAATGAGTGTGCCAGGACAACCTACTGAGACCTAATTGTAAATAACGTCTGGTCACCCTACTGAATCGAAGGATGCTTGGATGACCGATTGCTATAAGCAAGTGAGTAGTTATCAGCTTTTTTATTATCTGCCAATATATGCATGAAGTCATGCAGTGCATGTTTGGTAGTGCGGCTCGGAAACTATGCTGCTTTGGATGCAATATGCCATTTCATTCAAGATAATAATTCAGATGCGTGACGATGATTAGTTTTAAACATTTTCCGAATGTAAGAAGAAGATATATTGACCGATGGTGTTGAGAATATAGCTGGGTACTTGACAATCTTTAAAAAAAAAAGGACTATTTACGCTATTTTGGTGCCCAAATTGGGGAAGTGACGTAGTCTCCAGAAAGTGGAAAGAAATGCATGTAAAATTTTGGGATATGCATAGTGCATTATTTGAAGAATAGAATTATCTACTCCATCTGAACCTTGCGCCTTTTTGCTACTAATGAATGGATAATGTTATCTATCTCAGATGTCGAAGGCAGGTGATCAAAGCCTAGCTCGTCTTCAGAGTTTTTACGTGTGAATACGTAAATATTGTTTTGGGCGAGCAGAAAAAACTTCCTGTGTGTCGTTTCTAAAGATTGTATCCAAAATAGCAGTGACGATATCAACGCTGGTATGATCATGGGGCAAAGGAGAGACTGTGAAAGATGTGGGCTAGAAGACATTGTTGCACGCAGTTTTAAACGCTGTTCCATAGGTGTCAGTAGTACGAGAACAGACGCCAGGAAGTTAATTTGGCAATATTTATGTTGCGCTTATACTCAACTCTCGTTCGAAGATATGCTAACATGCGAGAATTTTCCAGCATTTCTTCTGTTACTGCCCGCGCCCTCAGAGCTCTCATACGTGACAGCTTGGGACCAGCGACTTGTATCTATAAGCCCACCTGCAGGCGCTTATTATACATTATATCATGCTTGCATATAGGAGATCTAATTTAGATGTGTCATGACATTCAATTAGAGACATTATTAGGTGGTTAAGGTGTTTATTGTAATCAGAAACACACTTGGTTTTAGTTTAAGGGTCTTGAAAATGAAATCTTTACAATTAATAAGCAAGCTTACACAAGAAAAGGAATAGAGAAATTTGAGATGTAAAACTGCATAAAAAGCAAGCCAATGTCAACTCTTCAACAACTGTCAACTTTAAATCCAAATGAAATGGGACAAAAATATGTTCACATATGGAGAAGCTGTATGTGCTTTAATGTACGTTATGTTAAGTAAGATTAAATTTACAGATTACATTTTCAACTACGCAGATTTCAGCACATCATTTTGGAATTTTAAAATTCTTCATTTTTACATGCCTCATTTTTCTACATTCATTAAAACATGCAATAAAAAAAAAAAAAAAAAAAAAAAAAAAAAAAAAAACAGATATCACTGATTAAAATATTACATACTCTTTGTATGGTCTAGTTTTCCGAAGCTGAGAGAAAGAGTAGTCAACAGCCCACTTACGAACTTTCATCATGATATCAAAATAACATTCGTTGCCTATGGTTAACTGCAAAAAGAGTTTAAATTTCGTTGGAAAATGGCTTTGCAAATAATTTTTAAACTTTAAGTAAGAGTTTTTAGAAAACCCACTAGTAAAATAAAAAAATACTTACGTTTACATAGAGATTATCTACGTAATGTTGATAAAGAATGTCGTCAGGGTACCCAACATGAGCTTTTATGGCATTAATCTGAAAGATAAAAGCAAATTAATATTCCCCCTAAAGCATTAAATAGATATTCTAGTAAAAATGCTAATTTAATTTGATGGACATTTCTTTTAACTTCAAACGAGCTGGAAGTGCTAAAGTAACTAAAACAACAGAAATCGGAGTAACAAGAGTGATTTTGAAAGGTTGTAAATTTATTTTAGTCTGGAGTAGAAGGCTAAACAGAACTTTCTGCTTCAGAGCTATAGCTCTGCAAATTATTCATCCTATGCCAATTTCTACTGCTTATAAAATTCTTTGAAATATTAAACTTAAATCGGCATACCAAGGTAAGATTCAGTTTTATTTTAATCTTATACTTTCCTTTGTTTTACAAATTTAAAAAAAAAGAACTGTTTTTTTAACATTTTGAAAACTTAATGCTAAATTCCTCGTAATGATAAAATATAATCCAACGTTTTCTGATTAAAATTTCTACATCTTTTCTGTCTCTAAGAGATTACATATTTGAAAACTATTTGCAAATATTATTATTGGACCATAGGATCTAATAGCACCATCTGAGCATAATTTATCACCACAGTAATAAAAGATAATTTGTTAATGAATCATAAAGAATTATTTGTTTGATATCGGGAAATTGTCGAGGGAAACAGGAATTCAGAATATGAAAAATCTAAAATTGACTATCATAAGTAAAGCACTTTGTTGAAGTTTACATACTTAAAATAACTAACGTTCTTTAAACAAGTAGTTTTGGGAAACAATCCTTTCATACTGCAAATCGTAGCTAATTTACGGGCGTCACAACTTTGTATTTTATTTTTTACTAGCAGCTTAGCTGCCAGCCTTCATCTGGGTTTAAAATGTACCGGAAAAATGGCTGAAGGGAACACCAAAAGTTAAATTTAAAAACTGCGTAGAATTTTACTCTGCAGAACAACTTCATAAAAAAAAACTTATTATGTATAACAAATGTACAATGAAATAAGCAATATCCCTTAATACAAATATTAATTATCCTAATAAATAAATTCACCAACTTGCCTTTGCAAAATCTTAAGAACTGAAATGGTACATAGGAGGTTAAAAACTTTGTTTCCTAAAAAAATCCCTAAAAACTTGTCAATATCTTAAAAACAGTGAAATGAGCAATAAATAACATAAAAGAATACATAAAACAAAACATTCTGAAAATTTTAAATATAAGATAAATATTAATGATATTTTACCTTATATTTTCAAGAGAAAAAAATTACAATGAAATAAGCTATATCCCTTAATACAAATATTAATTATCCTAATAAATAAATTAACCAACTTCCGTTGCAGACAAAAAATCATGCAAAACTTTTCAATATCTTACAAACAGTGAAATAAGCAAAAAATAACATGAAAGCTACTCAAAAAACATAAAATTCCACGCAGAATTTTACTCTGCAGAACAACTTTATCAAAAAAAAGTCAATAAAATGCATTATATAATATATATATAATAATACATTTATATATATATATATATATGACAATGAAATATGCCAATCTCTTAAAAACAGTGACATAAGAATTTCTTACGATGAAAACGTCGCGTTTTTGCTCAATTGCAACAATTGCCAAACCCATATTTCTGAAATAATGAAACTATTCAAAATGATGCGATTTCTTCAAAAATCTATCAACAACAATAAAACAGGAAAATTGTTGCCAAAATCACATTTTTAAAGATGTGAGATGTGAGAAGTGTACTCGGAAGCTTCATTAAAAAAAATTTTAAACATACAAAATATTATCATTTTTCCAAACTTCTTTTTGTAAAAGCAGTCGCAAGGATGAAAGTTTAACGTATCCAAAAATCAAAGAAAAATAAACTGTACATTTTTAAAAATAAACTTTTTTAGAAGAAATCCCGTTGAAAAGGTGTTAAGCTCCCTTTTGTTAAATAAATTCGTATTTAATCGATTTATTGAAACACGAAAATTATTTTATGTTCGTAGAATAGCTAAGTGCCTACGTTTCAAGACGATGTGAAAATGGAGTGTGTAGAGTAAAATCTCGCTTTCCTATAGCCCATTATGTCTCAAAATGACACGATTTCGTCACAAAACATAAAATAAAAAAAATTCGAATTCGAATTTCGAAAAAATCGCTTGGCTCTTGTCTAGATGCACCTATGCACCAAATTTCGTAGCCGTGGGTCTATTAGCTTATGCGCAGCGCGAACGAAAGACACACACACACCATCAGACAGACTCTTTCTTTTATTACGTTATATGTAGAGATAACGAGTTCAAAATATTTCGGAGTACAATAACAGGAGGCACATAAGAAAGTTAGATTTCATAATTTTTACAAAACTGATTTCCGTTATAGAAATAAAGGCATGATAATAGCTTTTGTGTATCCGGTGTATATAAATCTTACATAAATATGAAATTTTGAGACATGAAAAAATAAAGGCTGAATTCTTTCAATCTACCAGTTGCAACGAGGGTAATTAAATTGTGTCCTCATTTTTTAGTGTGCTTATTTATTTTCATTTTAAAATATCTGGCGCCAGCTTAGTGATCTGAACTTTCTTTTCGCATCAGAGTTGAAATCAATGTTTTGAATCACTTGACCTAAAATGCGCTATGTTTTCTTAAAAATGTATTTACTGTTTTTTAATTTTTTAATTTTTCATGCCAAAATTATTTATATTCGTTCAACAGTTCTCATTAAAATTCCTCAAAAATTCTTCTATAAGACTGAACATATTAAATTTTATGCTCAGAAATGTAATCTTTTAAAAGAAAATTACATTTGGATCTGAATGTTTTACTTAAGCGTAATGCCAATCATAGAATGAATTAAAACAAATTATTTATTTATACTATTTTAAATATTAAGGAAGCAATATTAGCAAAAGATTTGTTCTATATTATTAGTAAAAGATTTGTTCTATATTATTAGCAAAAGATTATATTATATTATATTTGTTCTATATTATTAGCAAAAGATATATATTAGCAAAAGATTTGTTCTATAGAATGCAACAATTTTCGAACAAAAATTGTTGCATTCTATCATAAAACTTTTAGGCAAGTCTATATTTTAATTTAATTGATTCTGAATGAAAAATCTCTTTTTAAGTAAATATTTCTTATTATTCAAAACATTCGGTCAACAAAAGGATCTCTATTATTTTGTAATTAATTTTATAAATAAGAAAAGGAAATGCAGGAATTGTAAGAAACCAAACCTTGTTTATAGCTTCTGTTTTAGTTTTGTTGTCTATCCAAGATGTATTGCTTATGACATGTGACAATTCTCGACGAATGTTTCTGATAATACGTCTTGTCTGAAAGAACAAGAAAAACATTTTATGTTACAGCATTCGTAAATTATATCTGTGGCACAATAATCTAACAATGTAACTTGGATAATAAGACTGTCAAGATATTAAGTTAGGATGAACGTATAATAAAAACAAACATAATGAATAATAAACAAACACATAATGAATCGATATTAAATTTATATTAAACTTTTTCAAAATTCTTATCAGAGAGTATGAACAATATATTCACAAAGACTGACTTTGTCTTTACTATTCTGTATGTGATTCTTTGCTATTTTATATATGACTTGTTTCCGTAAGTGTTAAAATAAATTTTGCAAAAGTCGTGCACAGCTTAATGGATTTTCATTGTGAAAGTAAAAGTTGCGATACTTCAAAATTGCTTCAAGTTATCCTTTTTATGGCATTTTGATCGTAATTCTGTTATCATTATCACAGGCATGTTTAGTGTTTTAACAGAAACATAAAAGAAATTTTCATCACGAGATTAAATTCTTGAAGATTCAATGCAAGTATGATATTTTATAGAAAGTTAATGTTCTTCTTTCATGTGTTGAACTTCATAAATTGATGTCACAAATCTAAATATTTTGTATTGTCAAGTATCTCATAGGAACAGAACTGGATTCAATACTCGATATTTACGTATTCCTCCTTCGTTTGAAATTGGATTAAGCTTAGTGCTTATAGATTTTCTTGCTGACTAAATTCCGTACGTTTGTGAAGATTTTAGGATAGTCTGGATCTTTTAGGATTTTTTCTTTGTATAGGCTACATTATTCAATCATCATTCAGTCATTATATTATTCAATGATTTTCACCTTCAGCATGAACAGATTTTGCTGAATGTATTTTTTCAGTATTATGCTCCAGCCACTGAATTTTGTTTGACGTGTTACTAATACAGTTTTTTTAACAGTGCTAGTTCAGTTACCTGCATTCCACGGTTTTATTTTGATTTATTGCCATAAGAAGCGTATTTAACTATATGACATAAAAGGGGACCAAATGAAAGTAGGATTGTGATAAATTTCTGCAATACTTTATTATTTTGAATACATGTATACTTGCAGATTGGGAGACTGTTACATCTGCGTAAATACAATGACCTTGTCAGTTAAACTGTAGAGACATTAGGTTAATTGGAAGCAAGCAAGATGAAAAATCAGCAACCGCCTTCGCCGGGAATTGAACCACGGATCTCTGGAATACCGGCCCAGAGTGCTACCATTACACCACGAAGGCGCGCTAGGGAAGTGGGAGAAATACCTTATAAAATAACTACAGAAGCGTGTACAGGACACCGTACCTCTAAACAAAGATCATCTGTCAAATGGTCATTTGTCAAATGTAAGGGGTGAGTACTATCAGCGAAACAAATGTTTTATTGTATGCGGAACCATTCTTTAACTGTTTCCCAGACCTCATTGTCATCTGTGCTATGGTAATTAGGTAGGTATAGCGAGGTCCACCCTCCTGACAAGCCCAAACTTGTCTTATGGCTTTTCTAAACCGGCCACGAAAGAAAAACATATGAAGAATTCAACATGAATAAACGAAGTCTCCAGTAACAGACATATTGTGTGTACTTTGTTATTGTTCTATTCCAATTGCGACCAGGTTTTTATTAATTCTTTCCATTATCTCTTTTGTTATATTTATTGCTTCATTTCCAGTATAATCCAGATCATCTTGTTATTCCTTAAGTCTTTTGTTAATTCGCATTCTTCCACATATTATTATGTGCCTGTTATTTCCCAGCTTTCCGCATAGTAAACAGTTTGTGTTTTCTTCAGTTTTAAAACTCTTTAGGTAAGGTGGAAATCTATCGTGACCTGAAATAATCTGACAAAGGCCTTTATCGGTTATGGTTGTCACTTTTTTCAAGACTTCAGTGTTTTCTAAGTAGTCCTTTCTACGGTCTGAATTTCTCCATTTTTATTCCATTCTTTATATATATTTAGATCCATTTTCCTTATTGCTTTCCTTTTAGATCCCTGATAAACTATTTTTTCTATATTTACCTCAGTAGCAGCCTCTTTTGAAAGGCTTCCGCCAGCTCATTTCCCTCATATCCAGCGTGTGCTTTCACCCAAGAAAGTTTTATTCGATGTTTTGCGGAAAGATCCCTATGGAGTTCTTTCATTTCTTGAATATCGAAACTCGACTGGTCTCGGCTGGAGAGGCTTTCTAATGCTCATAGGGAATCGGAATAAATCTGAATTGTATGCTGGCCTTGAGAAGTTTCCTTTTATCCAAATCATTGCTTTTAAGATGGCGGCTAATTCGGCATGATAACTGAGTTAAATTCCTCTAGTTTATATTTTTTATTTTCTGTGTTACAATCATGAAAATACACAGACAAAAGCCAATCCAATTTCCTCTCCAATCTCGGAGCCATCCGTATATACTATGTTAATTTCTCTTATTGTTGGTGTCATATTAATATGAGGCATCAATATTCTCTCCCATGGGTGAATTAAATTGATATTTAGTTTTTCAAAGGCGCTCCTTGTTACAAAGCCTTCGTAGATTATAAAATCTTTCTTGTTAGTCCTTAATAAAAAATTTCCAAAAATAATTTATAGGATAAAAAGGGAGACGCCCTCCAATATGCATAGCACCTCTGGGGAGATGGTTCTAAATGCTCGGGTCATGCACATCAGCTAGCTTCTCTGTATTGTATCTAATTTCATTCTTAGGCATTATAGCTCCTATGCTCTGGTTCTCCATGCTCCAATACCCATTGTGATCATTGGAATTACAACGTGTTTATAGATTTTGCGTATTATATTACTTTTCCTTGCTAAAACATCACGTATAAAATTACATTTACAGAAATTCAAAATTCCCTCGCTTTTCTTATAAATGCGGTTGAAATGTTCTGTAAATGTTAATTTGTTATTTATGATTACTCCCAGATATATCGTGTTTGTTGTGAATTTTATTTTTGTTCTATTATATAAGAATCTCGGATTTCTTGTGCGATTTCCTCCTCTGTGAATATTGCCGAAGTCTTGTTGAGGTTAAATTCCGGACTTTTTTCTCTCTTCCAGTGATCCAGCACTGTAATTATTTTCTGAAATTTCTTTTTTAGTTTCTCAAGTGAGACTTCTTTTATAAGTAGCATGAGATCGTGAGCAAAACATCATTTCTACGTTTTGTGGTGGCCTTGGGAGATAAATTGATTCATGATCAGGTTACACAGCAACGGCGAGCTACATGACCCCAGTTGACAATATCTGTACAGACTAAATTCTACTGGATTATAGTTCATATAAAATATAATTTTCTTTCACTAAAATAACTTTTCAATAATTTGAAAAGGTCGCCCGGAGTGTGTATATTTCGCAGGGCTGGCCAACTAACAATGTCAAATGTTCTTTTTTATGTCAAAGGAAATTGCAGCGACGTGATACTCTCTTTTGTTGCTAGTCAGGTAGTTAGTTCACAAGCTGATATAATGCGTCTTCAACTGATCTTCTGAAGACGAATCCATGCTGTCGGTTTGACTGCAGTTCATTTTTGGTGACGAAATGACTCAATCTATTTATAATCAATTTATCCAGGACTTTGCTAAAATACTTCAATAAACAGATGGGCCTATTCGAGCCTTTGGAATAAGGATCAAACCGGCGATTTTGCAGATCCTCAGAAAGACACTCAAATGTATGCAACAATTGTATAAACTTAAAAAAAATTTCCGGGTAAAAGTAAAATAGTCTCCTCTGTGCTTTGGTATGTCTTCAGTTTTTTTAGCGGGTCGAGCACAGGAAATTTGCAAGGTGACAGGTTATAGTTACAGGGGGACGATGGAGAACTTCCCCTCAAAAGCGATGCAGTAGAAGACCGCAATCATCCTGCCGTTTTGACAACACGCCACAGTGAAGATTCCCAATGACTGTTTTCACTTTGCTTAAGGTAATCCCAGTATCTGTTTGCATTAACTGTACCTTCATTTTCTACCAATCTAACAGCATATTCTCGTAAACAAAACATGTGAATAGGGGAAGAAGGCCGGTTTCAAGCCACAGGGAGCGGGGAGTCGATGGGCGGAGCCTCCTGAGGCGCAGAGGGGGCAGGGAATTGAGCCCATGTCATGGACCTTATAAGAAACCCAAATAGGTTTTCTTCCTCGTTTGAGGTGTTCACGGCTGTCACCCTGATCACATCCGGAGGAGTAGGGACGACTTGCTGAAATTTAACAGTGGTTGCCTATTGCAGCGTGTATAATTGTCAAGAAAAAAGCTGGTTGTAGCGCCTCATTTCACAAATTAGAATTCCTACATATTTTTATTTTAGAAATTGAGGTTAATTTTTAAAAATTTAGCATATTTGTCAAGCATAATTAAAGTTCCAAATAATTATAAAGCTTTCAGGAATTGGTATTTTTTTAGCTTTTCCTATGCTGTAAGGAAATTCGTAGCTACTTCTTTTAGAAAATAATATTTTAAATCTGAACTAATAGAAAATTTCAAACAAGCAATTCTCTCTCGCAATTTTTATGCTTTTTATTGGTGTAAATAAGTAAAAAAATACTAAAATATTTAAAAACGAATTTTTGAAAGTTTTGTTTAAAATTCTAAATTGTGCTGCCTTTTTAAAATTATAGATGAGTATTATAGCACAATTTCTGTAAGGGAATTTTATTTCAATTATATTTCATAATACATTATAGTGATAAACACTTTTGGCTCCTTAAACATTTTTATACATTTAATTCTAATATTAAAATTCTATTTAACCGTAATAATTAATTTTGCTTGTATTTTATAGTGATTATTTTCTAAAATTATTTTTAGTTCTGCATAAGATTTTTTTAAATTACTGTTAATTTAATTTATTAGCCCAAAGGGGCGGTAGTCTAGAAAGGCTGTTAGTTTCGAAACGGCATTTTGCGCTGTTTTACTATAATCTCATTGCAAATTGTTGTTACCAAATATTATCGCCCTATATTATACGTAAAGATATTAAATAATGAAGAATCTGTATGAATACAT